GGGGGGGGGCTGGGGGCATTTTGCATTTTTGCTAGTTTCGTTTGCTAATTCCTGTTAAATTACACTTCTGGCCTAGGAGACACCTGTAAACTCTTGTCAGGTGAAAGGCGAAGCTGTTGCTATTGCATAGGTTCACGGCCGTCTACAGGTGTCCACGGAGGGTGTCAGCACTGGTCCGGGAACCGGGAAACCCCTTTCTCCTCTCCAAGCTGGACCGCGCCTTGAAACTTTCTATTCATCATTCTTTCGAGCTGAACCTGTGTTTCAGAAGAGCAAATTGCTGAACTAAGAGAAGAACTCGCGAAAGCGAACGAGCTGTTGAAATCGAAACACGCAGGTATATATGACTGTTATCGAAAGTCCATTTCATATAGACTTGTTTCAAAAGTAAAATACTTCATTTTTCTTTATTTTCCAAGTGTTCAATTCACAATGCTGTGACTTGACTTATTCTTTTCAGTGCATTTGAATGTCAGTGAGGAAGAGCTGGCTATACTTTCTCCAGCAGCTGTTGAGACAGCACGACTTTTGCGAGGAGGACAATCTCTTACTAGTATTGTTCGGTTAGTCTTTGGTTCTAGAGGAGACGTAGTTGCCTCTCAAATCACCACACGCATCATTTCTTTAAGTGAGCACGCACGATTAACGGGTGAACTAGCGGAATCTCGTGAACGCAACAAGCAGCTGGAAATGAGCCTACGAGAAATGGTGGAGGAAATTGAAGGTGGGTTTTTTCTTACCTCATCTCCTTGTAAATCATTTATGAAAAAAAATATTCAACTAGTGTTGTTGGTGCTTTTTTTCAAAAGCTTCTATTAACCCCGAAAACTCACCTGTATAAGAAAGCGATGTTCCCATGAAGTGTTTTGACAACAAAAATACTACTTTCTTCCACAATGCTCAGGCTATTTTTTTCAGAACGTGCACCGCAACTGTTCCATCAAAAGGATTTATTGGATAAGACATTTGATCACAACAATCGTTTACAGGAGCAGCTTAAGGTATAGTAATAGATCTTCTCGCTGTCAGTATGTTTTAATCAGGGGATTTGGATCGCAATGGTATACCATAGCAATTATTACGACAGGTCCCTGAGGTACCTTGAGTTTTGGTACTGCCAGTGTTAGAAAAGTTATGCCATTTCTCCGGATATATCGCTTGTGGTGAATGTCTCGATATTTTCTACTTTGGCTGGTAACGATGAAATGTTGACACCAATGTGCCAAAAACCCGTCAAATGACAAGTGATTTCTTCCTATTATGGGTAGTTCCGGAAAGTTTCAGCGTTTTGTTGTTAACTATTTTCGTGAATTCATTGCTGATTAAAACTCATTCTCTCTTGCGTTTCAGTATTACATCTTCAAGAGAATTTTTTGCGCTATCTGATGGTATAATTGCCGTTTCACCATTGCTTGATGAACCCTCCTTTTCCCAAAACTTTTTGAAGCATGTCAAAAGAGCAACTTCGGACGATATTTTTCTTCAACTTCAAATTGGGCTTGAAATCCAACAAGTTCGAGACAAGCTGGACAAAAACTGACCAGGTGTGGGGGCCCATAGTGTTGGAGAAAGCACCGTGCGACAATGGTTCGACAAATTTCGTTCTGGAGATTTCAGCCTTGAAGGTGAACCTCGTAGCGGTCGACCTAAAGCAATACCTGACGAAGATTTGAAGGCATTTGTGGAGGGTGACCCATCCCAAACAGTTCGAGAGATCTGCAGAAAAGCGAGGCGGTTGACAAATCACTCTTGTGCGGTGATGGTCTGAAAAGGTTGGAAAGGTGAAAAGCCGACAGTGAGGCGCAATGGTCCACGAGCTGAGTGAACGGGCAGAAATTGCTACGTCGCGAGGTTCTTCCGAAGACAGCATTGCTTTTGCGCAGCAGAAACGACCTGTTTTTGGGCCGAATTGTCACCTGTGATGAAAAATGGGTCATGTATGATAACAGGAGACGTTCCGGACAGTGGTTGATTCGAACCACCGAGGCAGTTTCGAGAAGCCAAATCTTCCAAAAAAGATTATGGTCACAGTGTGGTGGTCATCGGCTGACGTGATCCACTATAACTTCTTGTCACTAGGCCAAACCATAACAGCAGGTGAAGAAATCGACGAAAGACCAGAAATGGTGTGGTCTCAGCTGCCAGCCAGCACTTGTCACAGAATAGGGCTCGATTCTTTTGGCGATCGAAACGCAGCCGGGAGCGCACGACGTTTTCACGGAAAACACGTATCCATAATTGAAGAGCGATGTTGGAGGTCTACCTCACCCGCCATATTCTCCAGACCTTTCACCAACCGACTATCACCTTTTCAAACATTTTCAGAACTTCCTTGCTGGAAAATACTTCATCAATCAGGACCAGGCAAAAAAAGCCTTCGTGGATTCTCGACCACCCAGTTTTTCTTTGATGGGATTTATCGACTGGTGTCACATTGGCAAAAGTGTGCTGATTCGAACGGTGCTTATTTCGATTAAATCCGATGAGTATTAAGAAAGTTATGATCGTTTAAAGTGAAACACACTCAAAACGCTGAGAACTTTCCGGACAACCTAATACTAATGGTGAATGCCAGAACCATCTTTAAGGTTGGCAAGGTCTCGTAAAATATAAGTTACTTCTCGAATGAACGTAACTTTCGCATCACTTGGCAGGAAGTATTGTAACACTAGGATGCATAACTTTTATTCACTGCTGTCTTATTATTTTGAATTTGTGATGTTCAAAGGAGGCTGATGAAGCTCGGCGTCGTCTTGAAAGTGCCCGAGATTCAACTACTCGTGAGTTAGCGTTTACTCGAGCCGAACTCGAGAAGTATCAAAGGGATTACGCTAAAGCGTCCAAACAGGTGTGGTTTCTGTTAATCTTCAATGTACCGGCTTCGAAGTATTGTCTTTACAGGTACAACACTTACTATTTGTAATAGAACGGGAACGAAGAGGTAGTGATGACGATGTTCATGGAGACGACGCTCGTTTGTTCGATAACATAGCTCAAATGCAGCAGTGAGTTTGCGATGCTTGTGAAGTCATTGCCTATCCAAACCTTCCATTGTCAGGATAAACCGCCAACTAGAATCAGAGTTAGAAGCTGCTAAAAGTTCCGCCGAGCAGTTCGTTCTCACGTCGAAGAATGCCGAGTTTGTGGAATTGTGAACTTTGTGATTTCCGCATTTGTGGAGCAAGGTTTCTTTTTTGCAGAATTGAGGGCTTGAAGCGAGAACTAGAAGCCTCGCAGAAAACGGAATCGAGCCTGAAAGGCGAATTGGAGCAGATGCGTACCACATTTGAACTTGTATGTCGACATTTCTATCCATAAAGTTGAATAGCTCCAAAAAGATTTTATTCGGTCAGTCGGGCTAGGAAATAGTTGATTTCGTTCAATTTCAGCTCCAGTCGCAGACCGAACAGCTGAAAAAACTCGCAGAAGATAATGTTAGCGTTGCTGAGGCGAGAACTGCGAAGATAAAGGCAGAAGAAGCTGCTGCAAAGGTTAGGAAGTGTTTGGACTAGTTCGAACTGGAGGGGTTCTTCCTGGAGAAAAGGTTAAACGACATTGACAGTAATGCTATTCACCGGTAAGCTTCAGGGAGTGGCGAGTGTAGTAGTGTGTACAATGCAGCAGCGTTTTGAGCGTGTGCCGGCGTTTCGAGCGTTAGGCGACTAGGAGCACCAGAGTCAATCCGTTTTGTGCGTCCGTCACCGCTTCAAACGTTTAGCAGCATTTTAGCAATAATCGTAGCTTTACTTTTTTAGTCACTCTCTTAAAACGCTGGCGCACAGGTGGAAGCTCTGTGACAGTGGTTTGTCGGCACTGAAGACTTTTGTTTCTCTTCGATTTTTGGATTTTGAGTTCCATCCCAGCGAAGAGAAATCACATTTCTTCTGTTCTTGCCGATGTTGTTTTTACTTGGTGAAAAAATATTCGTTACAGGCGCAAGCTAGTGAGGTGAAGGTAGCTCGGCTTGAAGAGTATATTCGTGCAATAAAAGACGAAAAAGAAATATCCGAAAGGTAATTGATGTGAACAAAAATTTGGTACTATTTACCCTTTACTGCATTTATTTTTCAAGTATGGGCTCGATTTTTTTTCCGAAATCTGCACAGAATCTCGTTCTCATTTGGAGCCCTTGACCAGAATAAGACTAAACACGCCGGTTGTTAGTTTAAGTAAATGCGGAATTCTGGGAAAGAGGATTGGCCTGTTCTTACAAAACCGGCGCCACTCTCTGGCCAAGTTGCCGTAAAGTCTGAACCTATCCTGACCTGGGAAGTGGGAGGCACTTTGAGGAGATAGGTGCGAGGAAAGAATAAGCCCTCCATAGGAAGAAAGATACGTTCTCTATAAAATTCTGTATTTTCTTTTAGGGTTCATGCTGACCGCGTTGCAAGAAGTGAGCAGATGATCTCAGAAGTAAGGATGACTAATGCACGTCTGGAGGCATCATTTGAAATGCAAAAGCAAACAACAGCAGTCGTAGAGAAGGTGTGGTATTTGATAGAGTCTCTTCCATTTCCCTTTCATGCCGAGTCAATGTGCAGGAACTGGAGCGTGCTCGAAAGGAGAGCGATCAAATCCGTGAGGAAAACGATCGTCTTCGAGCAAGCGAAACTCAAATGGCGGGTAGAGTGGAGCAGCTGCATCAGGAGCTAATGGGATTGCAACAACAGACGAGCAATTACAAGTAAGTTATAGACTTGAAAGACAGAGTTCTGTTCAAAATGACCCTTTCTACAACAAAATCCCTAACTATGCTCCTTGAAGGATTGAACTCCGTGCCGTGACTGAGGAGCTGCAACATGCTCGTTTGACTGTCAACCGATTGGAGTCAGAAGCGGAGGCTGTCAAGAGAACTTCATTCAGCGAACAGCAGATGGTCGGGTTTTCACAATTTCGGATTTTTTACGGCGCGATAACGCGCTGTGACGCGCGTCGACGCGCTGTTGCAGTGGCGCTCCAGACGAGGACGCAGCCGAAGACGGTATTAATCGGCGCCGACCGCTGGTATTTCGAGAAGGTATAGGATAAAGGCAGTCGCTGCCTTTGCAGTTTGGTACCCTCCTACTTCTCTATCGTCTCTCAAAACACTGACGGCCGGCGCCATTGATACCCGTCTGCGGCTGCGTTCCCGTTTCGCACTGAAGCGCCATTGCAGTGGTAGCGTGCCGACGCGCGTGCTCTCGAAGTCTGAACGCTGCCTAAACATTCAACGGTGTCTGCAGTTGTGAGGCCATGTGAATTTGTGTGGGTAGGAGGGGAGGAATGATAAAATGGGGGGATCTAATCAATTTGTTGTGATGGGCTCTGTTTTCCAGTGGTTTCATCCAATCATTATTTGAATTTAGATGTTGTCGCTGAATGAGATGACAACTCGCCTTTCACGTATTGAATCAGAGAAAATGGCTCATCTTGGCTCTCAACTCGATGTACGTCACCCTTTTCATCTTTTCATGACGTTTTTGTACTGATCTCGAAGAAGGTGATTACTCCAGGTCCTTCGTCTTGAACGTGACAGTCTGAAGACATCCAATGCTCGTCTCTCCGATCAGCTTTCAAACTCCAGAAATGATGCGAAGCAAGTTCAGGTATGTTGCCTAGCGGGAATGTTTCCTAGAAGTTCCTGACAATCTTCTGTTTAGACTCGCTATGAGGAGGAGCTTGCTCTCCTGCGACAACAACTTGCAGAAAAGGAGAAAGAACTGGGTTTGAGTGAAAGACAGCTCATCGATCTACGAGCCCGTTTGAGCAACATACAAGCGCAGTATACTGCTCAAGAAAGTACCATAGGTGAGCAAGAAATTATGCGTCTTACGGAGGGGAGGAGGAGGGGGGGGGTGCGGAGCGTTTCTTCAGAGTCGCGGCGGAGTAGACATTGAGCTGGATGACTTTCGCAGCATCCGCACCAAGGTCCACCCCACTCAAAATGACGGTGCGCGTTGACTGTCTCCTAAGTCAACCCGCACTGTGATGGCGCGACTGAGAGGTAACAATCCAGACCGCGATGGGTGGCGCGGAGGGGGGGGGGAGCCGCTTGGCTCATGGCGCGGCGCGTATCATCTGAGTTTATACATGTCGATGGCACAGGATGACACAAGATGCACGAATCTTTGAAGGCAGCGGGCACGATTGCTAGAGGCGGGCGGTCGTTGCCAGAATCGTTGGTTTGGTGGGGGGGGGGGAAGGGTGGGGGAAGGACTCGAGAGGAGGTTTGGCCATACCACACTAAGTTCTTCCACCAATGACATTCGCGACAATCTCCCTGCGCCTAGCCATCGTACCCACTGGCTTTCAGCTATTATGATGTGGTTTATGAGCAGAGCTTCTTTTTTTTACTCCTCCCTCCCCTAAAGATCTGCACTTAATCCTAATAGGGGCTTACAAAATCAGCTTAGAGCTCTGACTTCTGTACTGGATAACTGTTTTTATTTAGGAATGACTCCTGAGCGTCTACAGAAAGAGTGCCAGCAGCTGAAGAACCGATCACAATATCTGGAGTGTCAGCTGGATGAGCTAAAGTCCAAGCTAGCTGAGGCAGAAGGCACTGCCATAAAGAAAAGCAATGAGAACGATAGGTAAGTCCCAGTAAAAAGTAGTTACAGTCATCTGCTGTGCTCAAGTAAGCATTCAGAATGGAGTCACATAGCAAAGTTATGGAAACGAACTTGAAGCACATGGCCGAGTTGGGTTCAATGGAAAGGGAACGCCTTGAGGCGAGAGCGACTAGTGCAGAAGCGTGAGTCTGTGAAATAAAGCTTGGTTTTGAGTTAGTCTTATGATTGAAAATCTTTAAGGCGCTCTGAAGAGCTCACAAGTAGAGTTGCGGAGCTTTCAAACAAAATTGTTCAGTTGGAAAATGAAATGTCTGACATTAAAATGGATCAACTGCAGGTAGACTTTGTAGTGTTGTGTTTGAAAAATGTCTGAAATTGGCTTTTAGTGAGAAAATCACTCGCTTGTGAATTAATTTTTTAGCAATCGTCTCAGCTTCAACTGAAAATAGATATTCTGGAAGCTCAAATGAAAGATGCCGACAGTGCGGTTTCTGAACTGAATCAGTCATTGAGTGATGCACGTGCTGAAGTAGAGAGACGACTGCAGGAGCGCAATGAAGTGAGTACATTGGGAATATCTGTGCCCATTTGTATTTTCCTTGGTTCACAGGGTGCACTTTTCTTCGCTGCGGATGAAGGGTCATGCCAGCCGGATGGGTTTAGCGAGCCATATCCGCTCACCACAAGTTGTTGAAGCGGGTGGGCGACAATAGTGGGAGGAAAACGCTATGATAGAATAATAGAAAACGGGCTCGTGGCCGCGCCAAAATCATCCCGCTTGACATGCTCCTACATCCGCCTCGAACAAGACTGTAATCACTAGATAGTGAAGTTATGAATAGTATCCATCTTTAAATGGGTACTTCTGAATTCGACGACGTTCTCTAACCAACTTTTCAGATAAAACTAAACGTTTCCAAAATAGTTTTGATGATTATAACGTCAGTAAGAAAAGAAGATAGGGGAGAGCTGTGGGAAAATTAAAGGCAGTGAACATCATTGCTGGGGACGGGCTTTTGTTGCCAGTGTGGAAGGGCTGTACGGTCAAACGCCCTCTCGCAGCCTTTCTACCAATGATGCTGGCAGCACCGCTTTCGAGATAGAAGCAAAAGAGTCAAAAGGAGACCAATACGAAACCGGACGATTTTTGGATAGTTTTTGGACTCGCTTTATGTGTCTTCGCAATTTCACGTGCTAACTTGAAATTGTCT